TGCCCTTTTAGTGGGTATAGTTTTTGGTACAATAAAATCACAATGAGTAATACTGTAAGTGTACACCTAGTACAACAGAATATTATTAATACATTTTTTACGACATATGATTTCTCTTTGTTTTTGTTATTATTGGACTTCAAAAATGTATTCTCATTAACCTTCAGATACTTAAGGCTATTCAGAGGGAAGTTGAGGCCATCTTTGCCCCTGTTTTTGTTTTTTTTTTCCACAGAGTGGCTGTCATTTTCCACAGAATCAGTACCAGGAATTCTTTTATTGAGGCTTTTTTTCTAAATGATCTTTCACCTACAAAATTTGTAAGGAGGAACTCTGCCACATTTGTCTCACCTAGTGACTGAAATAATTATGTGTGGAGAAAAACCTAAAACAAATAAAGTATCAGGGAACTACTGAATATTATACAAACACTACAAACTCTTGTATTAAGTAGATTTTATTTTTCTAAGAATCCTTGTCATTCAGTTCTCAGATCTCAAAGACTATCCAAACTTGTTACTTATTTCATATAGATAATTATCTAGCTTCACTTAGTTTTGGCTTCTGTGGTCACATTTTCAAAGGGATTGATTAATAAATTCCTGTTTTGATGAAAAATAAAACCTGCACATATTTTCTGAATTTTACTTGGTGGTGGTGTGATGGAGTCCTGTTAGGGATGAACTTGTTTTGGTGGGAAGATAGACTGAGCTGTGTCATTTAAAATGTCTGCATTTGAACAGCTAATGGCTGTATTTAAAAATATTTAGGTAATATTTTAAATATTTAAAATGTTGATTTCAAGTGTGAGAACAAAAGTTCTGATGAATGACAGGTCACTTTTCATAACATGTAAGTGGATCAAAATTAATATTTAAAACAGTCAGGAAGTTTACACTTTCATCTGGGATTTACTTGGCAGTTTGTTCGTATCTGTGTGTAAATGCCAAATTCACTAGACTTGCAAAAAAAATTTTTTAGAAAGTTTCAAAGAAGTTTTAATGTCCAAAAGAGAAATGATAGAATTATCAATGGTCTTGGCCATATCCTAGGTGTTTGGAGGAAAGAAGGGTGTTAATGTTCTGTCCGTGTTAGTCCTAAGCAGGTGACAGTCCCCTTCACATTCACGATTTAAGAGAAGGACAATGGCAGTGTGGCCAACTGTGCCAACGTATGGCTCCTAATTGCAGGTGTGATTTTGTGTAATAGCCCAGTAATTACAAAATTAGAGATGGATTAATTCAATCAGGAGAAAGGTATGTGTGTATGTGCACTGCTGTGGTCATTGGCACTGGTCCAGGCCCTTTCCAGAGTAAGGACTAAAACTGTAAATGCATAATAAAGAAGGAGATGGCAGCTAATGTCTCATGCAGCTATGAATTGAACATTATGGCTTTCATTTTTCACTTCTCAGCTACCTCATTCAGTCTTCCCATCGGTCACCTTCGGTCATCTAGGGAATTATTTAATTTTTATTTCAGTTTGTTTTTGTTTTCAGGAGAAAAAAATAGACTATTCCTTAATGGTTCAGCTCAAGAGCAGAGTTTTGATGGAGTATCGGGGAACTGGATATGTGGGTTGAGAGAAGATGAGAACTAAATGTGTATTTACAGCCACAGAAGTGAATTTGAGATGTAAGCGTTAGTTCCTACGTTTGTAATAGTCAGTCCTTTTGTATTTCACAGCATTTAAGCTGTTCAAAATTGAGCCTTAGAATAAAGTCTCAGTGGAGACGAAATACCCTCTGGTCTGTTTTACCTTGGGTTTACCCTGGTTTGAGGAAGGCAGTTGGACAGGAGTAGAAGTGAAGTAAATAAGGATTTTACTTTTAATTTGGGCTTAGCATCAAAATCAGTCTGTCCCATCTCTCTGTCTGTTGCACTGTGGCCAGCATAGGTGGGATAAAGTAGGGTTAGGAACCATTCATAGAAGAATCAGTCACCACAGAAGTTGCATTTCTACCTGAAATTAGAGTAGACTTCACAAGTGGGAAGTATGGGATTTATCATTCTTGTCTGGAAGGAGAACCGGTAAGGATTTAGGTATTGGCATGTATTGATCATCTTCCTTCATTCAGTTTAAGATTTTCCTGGTTCTTGGTATGCCAAGTGATTTTGGGCTTGTATTGTTTATTTTATGAGGGGGAGATAATTAGCTTTCTTCATTGATTTCCGCTTGTTGGTACTGGCGATTGAACCCAGGACCTCTTGGGTTCTGAGCATGTGCTCTACCACTTGAGCTATACCCTTCCCCTGTC